GCTCCCGCGTCCGTGGGGGGTCGGTGGGGGTCGGGGGCCCCGCCCCCTCCCGCTGCCCGCCCGGGCGTCGCCGGCCGCGGCCGCCGCCGGGCCGCGCCCCCCCGGGCCCCCGCTGCCCGGCGCCGGTCCGGCGGGTGGTCCCCCCCCCCGGCTCCCGCTGGCCTTTTCCCCCTCGGGCCTTTCCCCCGTTTGCTGTTTCCCCGCCCTCGTGTGTCCCCCCGGCCTCCGTTTCTCGTGCTCCGTCTCGTTTGCTGTTTCGGGTCCCGTTCGTCGGCTCCCTGCGTCTTCTCTCTCGCCTGCTCGTTGCCTTGGTCTCCCGTTGGCCTCGGTGCCCGCCGTCTGCCCCCCTTCGGCTTCTTCCTCGTCTGTGGCTGCCCCGCCTCGGTTTCCTTCTCCGTTTTCTCCCCTTTCCCCCTGTGTTCCTGTGGGTTGGCCTGTGCTTGCTCTGTGTTCTGTGTGCCTGCTCCCCCCTTTGGTTGCGCTCCCCTTGGTTCTTCCTGCGCTGCGGTTCCGCCGCTGGCTGCGGTCCGCCTTCCCCTCTTCGGGCTGGCGGTCCCCCGTTTGGTTGCGCTCCCCCGTTTTCCCTGCGCTGCGGTTCCTCTTCCTGGCTGCGGTCCGCTGCCTCCCTCTTGGGCTGCGGTCCCCTGTTTGGTTGCGCTCCCCCCTTCTGCTGCGCTGCGGTTCCTCGGTCGGTTGCGCTCGCCCCCTTCGTGCTTGCGCTCCGCGGCCGGGTGCTGCGGGGCCGTGTCCGCGCTCTCTGCGCTGCCCCTCCTGTCTGGGCCTGCGCTTGGTCCTGTGGCGCCCCCCCGTGTGCTTGTGTGTGCTGCCGCTCCTGCCTTGGCTGCTGCTCTGCCTCGCTGCTGCCGTGCCTCTGTGCCCCTCGGCTCTCTGCTCGTCTCTTTCTCTGCTTGCTTCTCCCTGTTGCCTGTGCTTCTCCTCTTTGTCGCGTCTCTTCTCGGTTTTCCCCTCGCGTTTCCTCGTCTCTCTCTTCCTGCTTCCCCTGGTTTTTCTCTCTCTCTCTTCTCTCTCTCTTTCTCTCTCTCTCTCTCTCTCTCTCTCTCTCTCTCTCTCTCCTCTCTCTCTCTCTCTCTCTCTCTCTCTCTCTCTCTCTCCTTCTCCGGTCTTTCCCCGCGTTGGCGTGGTTCCCCGCCTTCTTCGCTGCCCCGCTCTCTTTGGCTTTCCGGCCCCGCCGCTTCAGCTTCGCTACCGGCGCGGCGCTCGCGGCCCCCGGCTTTCGCTCGCCGTTTTCCTTCTTCGGCCTGTCGTCCGCCCCTGCTGTCCTGCTGTAGGTTTCCGGCTCGCTTTCAGCCCTAGTTATCGCCTGTGCTCTCTGCGTTCTCCCGCTCCGCCTGTGGCCTCCCCACCGCTCCTTCTGTTCGTCCTGCTCTTGCTTGGGCTTTCCTGCGCCTTATCCCTTTCTTTCCTCTCCGTTTTCCCCGTTTTCCCCCTTGGGGTGTTCCCGCTATCCTCAGGTCTTCGGCTTCGCCATTCGCCTCTGCCTCGTCCCCGGCTCCTTTCTTTCTTCCTCCTCGATCTCTCGGTCTCAGGGTTCTTCCTCGCCTCTGCCTCGTCCGGGTCCTTCCTTCTCTTCTTCCTCCCCGGTTTCCGGTCTTTCCTCTAGGCCCGGGGTCCCCTGGTCCCTTCTGTCCCCCTACCTTCCTTCCGGGGCTTCTCCCCTTCCTTCCTTTTTTCCCTCTTCTTCGCCGCGCTTCCTTCCCTCTTCCTCCGGGTTTGCGCATCCTCCCCGGGTGTTCCCCGTCGCCGGCGTTGCCCCGCCGGTTGCCCCGTGGCCTGGGTTTCCCCCCATTGCCTCCGTTCTCTCGCGGCTCCCCCGACTCGCTGGTCCCTCGGTTCCATGCGCCCCATCCCTTCATCCCCGCCGTTGTTCCCTCTGGCTGCTTCGCCTCCTGTTGCCTCCCTGCTTCCCGCGCGCGCGCTTGCCCTTGTCCGCCCGGCCGCTCAGTGCTGCCTCTCCCGCCGGCAGCCTTCCCCCGGCGCACTGCCCCGCGCTGGCAGCACCTCCCGCCCCTCCTCCCTTTTGGCCCCCCCGCCCTGTCCGCCTTGCCTTCGCGCCCCCCACCTCTGTTCGCCCCGTTGCGTTTTGCCGCCGTGGCTGCGTGCCGGTGGCCCTGCCTTGTTCGCCCGCGCCGTCCCCCTGCCCTCGTCGCTCATGCCCCCCTTCGTTTGCGGCGCTCCGCCCCCCGTTGTCCTCCCCTTGGCCGCCCCTCCTTGCCCATCGCCGCCCTGCCATCTACCCTCTCTCCTCTGCGCCCTGCCCGTCTGGCGTCCTCCTTCCCGGCCCCTGTCCGCTTCTTCCGCCTTTCCGTTCTCCTACCTCTTCGTTCGTTACATCCCCTCTCCCCCCGTTGTCCCCTCTTAGCCTGTCTCTCTCTTCCCCGCGTGCCCCTCCTCGGTCCCTGTGTTTTTCCTTTCCTTTCTCTCGCCTTTTTGTCTTTTGTTTTGTACCTCCTCCTCGGAACCTCCCCCTCCTGCGTGTCTCCCGTCCCCTATTTGCTCTTCCTCCCCCCTCTTCTTGTCCCCCCGTGTCGTCCGTGCCATGCCCTCCCTTGTTTGTCCCCCTTTCTTTGCTGCTCCTGCCTTCCTTCCGTTTCTCCGTTTGTGGTTTGCTCCTGCTCTGTCCCTGCCCGGCCTTTTCCTTTGCCTTCCCCCTCGGGCCCTGGCCCCTCTTTGATTCTGTGCTCGCTTGGTGGTCTTTGCTGGCCTTTGGCCCCTTGTCCCTTCGTATCCTTTTTGCGCCTCCGCCCCCCCCCGCTGCACCCTCTCGCTCCCTCTTGAGTCTCCTTCGCCCCCCGCTCTTGGCCCTTCTCCGCGCCATTCCTTCCCCTCGCCCCTCTCTTGCCTCGCCCCCACCGTCCTTTCCCACCTTCTCTCTCCCTGTGTTTTCCTTGTTTCCCTCCTCACCCCCCTTCCCTGCCCCCTGCCTCCCTCCATTCTGCCTTCCCGCGCCTTACCTTCCCCTCCCTGGCCCTCGCCCTGCCCCCTCCACCCTCGGGGGCCCACTCCGCTTGTTTGTGATGTCTCTCTCTCATCTGTCCCTTCGTGGCGCCCCCGGCCTTCCCTGCGCCCCTCCTGCCCGGTGGCCTGCCATTCTCTTTTTCTGTCCGTCCCCTGTCCTCTGCCCCTCCGCGACTTCCTTCTCCCCCAGTCTTGCTCCGTTTGCTCCTCCTTTCTGCTCCCTCGTGCCCAGTCCTCTCGTCATCCCTTCTTGACACTCCCCTGCCACCCGTTCTCCTCGACCTTGCTTTGGCCCTTTCTTTCTTTTTTTCCTTTACCGTCCTCGGCACCCTCCCTTTTGCTCCTCGCCTCCTCACCTTGCTGCTTTCCACCATGTCCCCGCCCCTTCTCTGCTTCATCCTCCCCTTTTTCTCCCTTGGGCACCTGCCCCTGTTTCCGCCTGCGTTCTCTCCGCTCTCGCCTTTTTTCCGCTCTCCCTTATTGCCGTGGCTGTTTTCTGCCCCCTGCCCTGTTCCATGGCCCTCTTTCCCCCTTCACCTCCCTCTTTCCTCTTCTTTTATTTTTTCCCCCCCCTTCTGCCCCTCCTTTGGTTCCCCCTCCCCACCCTCTCGCCCCACCCGCGCCCTCCTCCCCTTCCCCTTTCGACTCAGCCCCTTCGCTCTTATCGCGTTTCTTCCCCCTGTTGCCCCGCCCGGCCGGTTCCCTGTTCCGCCACTGCCCCCTCCCTCCTTTCTTGTTTGCCCTTTCGCCTCTTTCCCCTCGCCCACTCCCCTTTCCACCTCCCGCCGGTATCCCCCGCGCCTACCGCATCCGGCCCAGCAGGTTCGACGGTTCCGCTCCCTTTTATTTGCTCCCTCCTTTTTCCTCCCTTGCCCTTCCCTCTTTGGGTTTCTCGCTAGCTGCCTTACCTCCCGTCCCTCTTCCTTACGCTTGCTTTCGTCTCACGTTCCCTTCCCTCGCCCCGTGGTCCTCCCTCCGTCTCCCCCTCCGTTTGTTGTCGTACCCTCCCTCCATTGTTTCCTTTCCGGGTCTCCCTGTCCCTTTTTCCCTTTCTTCCCCCTCCCGGGGCCCGCCCCCCTTTTGCCTCCTTCCGGGGGCTCCTGTGCTTACCTCCCCTCCTCGAGGGGCCCCGGCTCTCCGTCTCTCCCTCCGGGGTCCCACAGTGCCTTTTCCCACATCTCCCCTTTTTCCTATTTCCTCCTTCTCCCTTCTTCTCTGCTGTCCGCCTCTCCTATTTTTTTTTTATTTGCTGCTCCCTGCTTCTCTTCCCCTGTCGTCTCCTGTTCCTTCTCTTATCTCCCCCCTCCCTGGCCACCCCACGCGCCCCTCCCGCCTCCCCTCCGCTTCGCCGTCCCCCTCCCCTCTTTCCCCTGGCCGCCCCCCCCGGCTCCCCTTCCCCCCTCAGTCCTGGTTCGTCTCTCCTCTCCTCTGCCCCCCTTCTCATCTTTTTTTTTGCCGTCCGCCCCGCACTTTTTCTTCCGCCCCCTCCCGGCTCACGCCCCTCGGCCCCCTCCGTGCCCCCGTCTTCGCCTCCCTTGCGCCCCTTCGGCCCATTCGCCCGCCGGCCCGGTGCGCCGGGACGGTTGCTCTCTTGCCCCCTCTTTCCCCTCCCGCGTCCCTCCCCCTCTGGTGCGGCCTCCTCTCGCGTTTGGTGGCCTTCGCCCATGCCCTGGTCCCTCCCTTCCTCCTTCCCCTCCGTCAATCCTCCGCGTTGTCCACCGTTCCCTTCTCTCGCGTCCTTACCGTTCCTTCTCACAGTCTGCCGCCGACGTCCCCCTGGCGGGTACTCTTGTCCTTTAGACTTATACCGCCCCGGGTTTCCTCCCCGCCCCGGTCGCCTCCGGCGTTTGGTGTTATTGGGCCCTCTTTCGTCCCCCCTTTTCCCGTCTTCCTTCTTTTCCTTACATGTCCTCTTCTGCTTCTTCCCTGTCATTACTCTTCTCTTCTTTCTCGTTCTTCTTCCCTTCTTCTTCTTCTTCCTCTTCTTTCCCGTTCTTCGATGTTCTTCTTCCCTTCATTCTCTTATTGTTCCTTGTTCTTCTTCTCTTCATTCGCTTTTCCATTCTATCTTCTTCTTCTTGGTTTTGTTGTTTATGTTGTTGTTGTTGTTGTTGTTCTTCTTCTTTCTTCTTCTCCCTTCCTCTTCCTCTTCTCTTCTTCTTGTTCTTGTTCTTCTTCCCTTCTTCTTCTTCTTCTCTTCTTCCTTCTCTTCTTTCTTCTTCTTACTTCTTCTTCTTCTTCTTCTTGGGGGTTTGGTCCTCTTCGTCCCCCCCTTGGCTTCCCCCTCTTCCCGCCCGTTGGTGGTTCTCACCCTCCCCCCTCGCCCTCCAATCTTCTCCTCTCCCCTCTTCCCGACCTTTCCCCTGTCTCGGGGTCGTTTCCTTCCTTCTCTCTTTTTTTTTTCCCTTTTTCCTTTTTTCCTTTCTTCATCGCCTTCCTCCCGTTTTCTTATCTCCCTTTATCCCCGTTTTTCCCTTCTCCCTTTTTCCGTTTTACCCTTTTTCCCTTCGTCCCGATTTTTCTTTCTCTTCATTTTCCTTCTTTTATCTTTCTCTCTTTTCTGCTATTTCATTCCTACCCCTCCTCACTCTCTCCGGCCTTTGCCCTTCTCCCCCCTCCTCCTCCTCCTCCTTTCCTCCTCCCCTCCTCCTCCCCCTCCTGCTCGTACCTCCTCCTCCCCTTCCTCCTCCTCTCTCTCTCTCCCCTCCCCCTCCTCCTCTGCCTCTCCTCCTCCTCCTACTCCTCTCTCCCTCCTCCTCCTCCTCGCCTTTGTCCTTTCTCCCCACCCCCCCCCCCCCCTCCTCCTCCTCCTTCCTCCTCCTCTCCTCCTCCTCCTCCTCTCCTCGTCCCACTCCTTTCCCCCTCATCCTCCCTCCATCCCTCCTACTCCTCCTCACTTCCTCCTTTCCTCCTCCCACTCCCCCTCCTCCTCCTCTGCCCTCTGCCTCTTCTCTCTTCTCTCCTCCTCCTCCTCCTACTCCTCCCACCTTCCTCCTCCTTCTGCTCTCCTCTCCCTCCTCCCCTCACCCTCCTCATCTCCTTATCCTCCCTCCTCCTTTTCTCTCTCCCATCTCCCTTCCTCCCGTCCTCCTCCTCAGCATTCCTCCTCCCTCTCCCTCCATCGTCCTCCTCATCCCTTATGCCGCGCGCTTCTCTGCCCAGCCGGCCCCTCCATGGCACTCTGGCCCCTTGGGCCTCCCGCTGGCCCCCCCCCCTCGCGGCCCTTGGTGTCTTTCTTTTCGTCCTCCGTCCCCTGCCCCGATCTTCCCCTCCCTTTTTGCCGGGCTGCGCGGGCGGCCGTCCCGCCGGCCGCTCGCCGGCCCTTTGCCCCCTACGGCGGCTGCCGCCATGGTCCTTTCCGGCCGTTCGGGCGGCGCGGCGCCGGGCGCCGCCCTTTGCTGGGGCGCTGCCCCCCTAGCGGGCCCCTCGGATGGTCTTTCCTCTCTCCCCTCCCCCCTCTTTCCCTTCTGTTCCACTCCTCTCCTTCTTGGCTGGCCCCCCTCCTGCTCCCGTCTCTCTTCCTGTTCCGGCCTTGTGGTTTCGCGTCGTCTCCCCCGTCCCTTTGCCCGGCTCTGTGTCGCCATGCCCCCCTTCTCCTATCTTGCTGCCATACGCGCCCCCCTTCCCGATCTCTTCTTACCCCTTGCCTCCCCCCCCGCCTCCTTCGGTACCCATGTTCCCCCACGCCCGCTCATTTGCCCGCCACCTTAGCCCCACCCCCCCCCCCCACGCTCCTTTGCCGCCCTGTTTTTCCCTTTCCCTTTCCTGGTGTCCTGTTTCCCTTGTCCCTCCCAGTCTTATTTCCTCCCTCTCTCCTCCTCCTCCTCCTCCTCCTACATCCTCCTCCTCCTCTTCCCCGTCTGTCCTTTGTCGCCTTGTCTCCTCCTCCGTAGTCCTCCTTTTTCCTTCCCCCATCTCCTCTTTTTCTACTTTTCCCCTTCGACTTTTTCCCTCCCCGTCCTTCCCCGTTTCCCGTGCCCTCGTCCTCTCCCTCTTATCTCCTCTCTCCCCTGCTCCGGTTCTTCTCCTTCCCCTCTTTGTCCCCTCTTTACTTTGCGTTCCCTCCTCTGCCCTGTCCTCTCTCCTTACTTCCTTGTCCGCCCTTTTGCTCCCTTGAGGTCCCCTCCCTCGCTTCCTTGGTCTTCTATCGCCTTTCCCTCTTCGTCGCTTCCCTTGTCGACGCCCCTGCCCTCTTCGGCCCCCCCTCCCCTCGTCCCCTACGTTGCGCGCTTTCCTTTCATTTCTTGCGTACCCCTTGGGTGTCCCCGTCTCTCACCGCCTTGCTTGCTTGCCTCTCCTACCCCTGCCCTCCTCTGGTGCCCGTCGAAGGGCTCCTCGCTTCTTCCCCCGCGATTTCCCCTGCCGCTCTTTTGTTTCCTGCCCCCGCAACACGGTCCCCAGGTTTCGCAGTCGTTCCCCCCCACCGTCCCTGCCTTTCTTCCGTTTCCTTTTGTCTCCCCTGCCGTTTCCGTTCCCCCCCCTTCCCGTTATCCTTTCGCTCTCCCTCCCGTGTCCTTCGCTCTTTCTCCCCTCGCCTACTGTGCCCCATGTTCTTTCCTTTTACTTTTCTCTCCCCGTTTCCTTCCCCCCCCTCCCTGCTACTTTTCCGCTCTCCCTCCTCCCGCATTCATTGCACCCTCTCCCTCCCCTATGTGCCCTGTTCTTCCGTTTCCTTCTCTCCCCTGCCCGTTTTCCTTCCCCCCCTCCCGTCTTCTCCTTTTGCTCTCCTTCCCGTTCCGCTCGTCCTCTATCTTCCCTCTGTTGCCCTTAGTTCTTCCGTTTCCTTTTGTGTCCCATTGGCCTTTCACTTTCCCCCCCCCCTCCCGTTCCTTTCCTTTCCCTTGCGTTATCCCTTGCTCCTCTACCCTCCTCCAGATGCGGCCGTGTCACGTATCCCTCCCCTCTCGTTTTCAGTTTTGGTCCTTCTCACCCCTCACACCTAGCGCCCTCGTTTTTTTAACTATTCAGCCCTGCCGGCCGTTTTTTCCCCGTGGCTACCCCGTGCACCCGCACGTTCCCCCTCTCCGCCTGTCCCTCCTCCCTCCGCGCTGACCCCTCTTTTTTTCCATTCTCATCCATGTCACTTATTCTTCCCCCTCCCTCTGCCCCGTCCACTCCTTCCTTCAGTTGGTCCGGCCCTGCCCGCGCTGTTAGGCTCTTTGTGCCTTCCATTTGGTTGCGCCCGCTCGTCGTTTCTCCTTAGCTACTCCCATTGTCCTCGTCTCGCGTCCCCGTCTTCCCCCCGTATGGTTGCCCCGTATCCCTTCTGCTTCTCCGTATTGCCTCTCCAGTCAGCGTTTCCTCTTCCCCCCCTGGGCTCGTTCGACCTCCTCTCCTCCTTTTGCCCCGTAATTCCGGTATCCCGCTGGCTCCCGCCCGCGTCTGCCCTTTCCCCTCCCTTCTCCCGCCTTCCCCCTCCATCCGGGTCCCCTCCCTCCATCTGCCCCCCCCCTTACGTCTCTACTCCTCCTCCCTCCCTCCCTCCGTGCCCCTTAGTCCCGCTCCTGCCCCTTGACCCGCCTCCTTACCTTTTGACTGGCCTCTACCATTCCTTCGTTTGCCCCCTGTCCTTCCTTTTTGCCCTCACCTTACCGCCTTTCCCACCCCTCGTCCCCCCCCCCCCACCCCCCCCCCCCCCCCCAACCCGCCCCCCCTCTTCTCCACTGTTTTTTTTTTTTTGCTTCCTTACTCTTCTGCGCTTCCGTTGCCCACTACTCCTTCTCGCGCTTTTCTCTTCACTCCCCCCCTTCCCGTTTCGTCTCTCCTCTTGGCCTGGCTTTCCGTCCGGCCGCTCCCGCCTAGGTCCTATCGCGCATTGCCCCCTTCCGCGGCGCCTGTGGGCGCCTCCCCCTCCTTTTTTCCGCCCTTTCCTGTCTCCCTGGCTCGCGCTTCCCCGCCCCCCCCGCCCGCTCCCGCCGCGCGCCCTTGGGGCGCCCGGCCCGTCCTACGCTTCCTGTCGGCTGGTGCCCCCGCTGGCCCCGCCCCGCCCCCGTGCCCGCCTTGTGTTTGCTGTCCCGCAGTGTCCCGCGCGGGCGCAGTCCCGACCCGCCCGGTCGGCGTGCTTGCCCCTGCTTTTTTTTTTTTTTTGCGCTCGCTTTTGCTTTACTTTCTCTCTCTCTCATCTGCTCTCCTCCTATCCTCCTTCTCTTTACATCCTCCCTCTTCCCTCTCTTCCTCTCTTCCCCATCCTCATTGCTGCTCTCGCCTCCTCCCCCCCTCTCTGCTTTCGGCCCTGCTTTACGGTGCTCTGACCTCCCCCCTCGATGCTCCTCCACTCCGTTCCCTTCCCTCTCCCTGCTCGCTTGCGTCTCGTACAATTCCTGCTGCTCGTTTCCCGCCTTCTTTCCTACCCACTCGTATCCCTCCCGGTCCTCTTTCTTCCTCCTTTTCTCTCGCATCTGGTGCCCCTCCTCCTTTCCTTGCCTCATGTCCGTTTTACTCCTTTCCTTTCTTCTTTGCTCCTTCTTTCCCGTTTCTTCCTGGTTCTTCCTTATTGCTTTGCCGCCCCGGCTCCTCCCGTTTCTCCCTCCCCCGGTTCCTCTGTGCTTTTCCCCCCGGTCCCGTTTGGCGTCTCACCGTACTTACACTGCCCCCTCTTCGATTCGCGTTCTGTCTCATGTTCCTTTTTTCGGCCCCCCCCTTTCCTAGTCGCCTACTCTCTTTTTCTTCGGCCTGTACCCTCGCGCCCTTTCGCCCCCTGCCCTCCGTCCCCCCTCCCCCTCGGCCGGCCTTGCTTTTCCCCCCTGTTCCTCCTCCTCCTCCCGTATCTCCCGTGCCTTCCCCTTCCGCCTCTCACCGTTCCGCCCCCTCTCCTCCCAGGCCCTTTCGTGTCCTCCCCTTGTGCCGCCTCCTTTCCCCTCCTCCTCCGCCCCCCGCCCTTCCCTCCAGCCCTTCCTGTCTGCGTGGGCTTCCGGCGGCTGCCCCCCCATCGCCCTTCCTCCCTCTGGTCCTTGCTTGCTCTGTTTTTTTGCTTGTTCCTCTCCCTTGGCCCTCTCCCCTCCCCCACTCCCGTCTCCGTGCCTCTCGTCGCTCCTCGCCCTCCCCCTCTCTCTCTGTTGCTCTCTCATTCCCCCTCTGCGAGCGCGGCCCGCTTGTCTGGTGCCGGACCCTCACTCCTTTTTACTTGGCCCCGTGCTGCTTGCTCTGCGGTCCGCTGCCGGCGTTCTTTGTTGCTTCCTTAGCTCCGTGGTCCTTATGTTGTTTTGGGGGGCCTTGCCCCGCTTCTCTCCCTGCCCCTTCCCCCGCCTCTCAGGTCGCTCTGTCCTGTCTGGTGCCTCACCTTACACCCCTCCCCCTCCTTCACCCCTCGTCCTTCTAGCTCTACTCTGTTCTCCATCCCCCTTTCCTCCCTGCCTGTCCTCTTGCTGTGTGTGTTGTGTCTACTACTCTCCTCTCTCTCTCTCTCTCTCTCTCTATCTCTCATCTATCTCTCTTCTCTCTCTCTCTCCTCTCTCTCTCTCTCTACTCTCTCATCATGCGTTCCGCTGCCCCCGTCCTTCCCCTGCCCCCTTCTGCCACGGCCTGGCCCGTCCGTTTCTTCTCTCACCTGCCCCCTGCCTACCACCCCCTCCCCCGCATCCTCGCCGCATCGCGCGGTGCAACTCCCAGTGTCCCCTTTCCCTACTCTCCAATGTAGTCTCTGTGTCCCTTTGGTGTCTCCGCCCAGCCCCGCTCGCGTCTGTGTTGTGCCATTTCTGTCGTCCTTCCGGTGGCCTTCCTTTTTCGTTCCCCCGTTCGTCTTTCTCTTTCGCGTTCGCTTTTACTCCTCTCCTGTCCTCTCCTTCCCTAGCATTCACTCTCTCGGCTGATTGTTTCGTGCCTTCTGGCCCCTTCTTCTAATGCCTCGTGGTAAACCAACACTCGTTGTGTCGCTTCCGCTTTTCCCCTGCCCGTGGGCTGCTGTTCACACCACACCTCCCCCCTCTCCTTCCTCCCGCAGTGCCAGTGATGCGCCCCTGCCCCCTACTGCTGTGGGCCCTCCTGTGCTATTTACTGACTTCACACTCTCTGTCCTTTCTGTGTTATCCATCCTGTTTTACTCTGTGGTTCGCCTCACTGCCCTTTCTCCGCACCAGATCATGTCTTTTCCTGCGTTCGCCTCCTGTACCCATGGTGTTTTACTGTGTTACGCCTCCTGCCCTTTTCTGGGGTCCCGCTCTTGTCTATTTCACTGCGTTCGCCTCCTGTCCTTTCTGTACCTTCCCCTCCTGTCTTATCTGCGTTCGCCATCCTGTCTTTTTCTCTCTTATTTGGCCATGTAGGTCCCCCCGGGCCTTACCGGTGCTCTAGCAACTCCTGTGCCTTCTTGGTGCCAGCTGCTACTGCCTTGCCGCGTCCCCCTTCGGGTTGCTTCCCTTTCCCCGCTGTCCCCGCCCTCGCCTGTGCTTCATCCTTCCGCCCGCACTTTTGCCCGCCCGCCAACCCCCTCTTGGATCACCGTCCTTCGTGGTGCTTCCCCCGTTCCCCCTCCTGTATGCCTCCCCCCTCCCGGCCCGCTCCCCCTCATTCTCTCTAAGCGCCTTTGACGCCGCTCTCCTCCTCCCTTTTTGCACTCCCGTACTTCGTGGTCCTTACCCCTTTTCTCTCCCCCAGTTCAATTTCTCCTCTCACGGGCCTTCTCCCCGCCTCGCCCCACGCGTTTTGGGCGGCTGCTGTACCTCCCGGTGCCTCCTCCCATGGCTCCCCCGAACCTTGCCCCCTCCCGCTGCCCCCGCCGCCCTTCTGTTTCCCTTATGCCTCTCCTCCCGCACCCTCTGCCGCCGCGGTTCGCACTCTCGTATTTCTTTTCCCTCCTATTCTTCCATCCTTGCCATCAGCCGTGTGGGTTCGTGGTCTTCCACCCCTGCCTCCACCTTAACTGTTTGCCGCTACTGTGCCTTTGCCCTTGCGGCTCTCTCCTACCTTTCGCCGTAGTGCCTGCGCTTTATCGCCTGCACGCCTTTCCCCTTTCCGCTCCCCCATCTCCCTTTCTGCCCCCCCTTTGTCTGACCCGGGTATCGGCCCTACTCACATGGGATCCCCGTACCTTCTTTTCGCCTTTCGCCTCGACGTCGCGTTGCTCCTCCTCCGTCCCTTGCCCTTCCTCGTTGGCTTCTTTCCCTTGCCTTTCATTTTTTCACGTCTGGGCCTGCTCCCCTCTCCAGCTAGCCACTCTTATCCTTTGTTCTTGCTCACATCCAGCCCTCCCCTCTCTCCGCTCTTCGCCCCTACCCCTTGCCGCTGCCTGCCGCTGCGGACCCCCACTTATTTTGCCTGTATGGTCCCCCACGTCCCACCTTCCCCTACTCTTACGGCTTGCGTCTGTACGCATCTCCTCTTTACTCAGTGGCCAGTTTT